ATTTGGATCCTATACATTATTAACTAAATATTTATTCTAAAGATTTTTGTTATTTTAAATTTTATTATTTATGTTATAGTTGTTAATACATATTGGTGCATAGAGAAAATTGAAAAGAAAATTCAATAGTTGAATATTATATTTTGGAAAGAATGTTTTTAATAAATGTTTTCAAACTCATGCACGCTCGATTTAATTATGGGAATTGAGTTTAGAACGCGGGATGTTAACAGTAGTTTCGTTGACCCTTGGTGCACCATGATACATCCAGCTAGCAAGGTTTTTAGGAGGTGTTAGCCTTATGCAACAGCCAACATACGTGAAATAGAGGAATGGTTATTCATGAGCACAGTAACTCACACTTGTTTTCGTGGCTTCAGCGTGCATGTCAGTTACTTACCCTCGTAGACTATGTGTTCACACTCGTTGGTTACTTACTCTCATAGACTTTGTGTCCCACGCTTGTTAATCATTCTGATAATGTCCCACAAAAAAGTAAATTTTTGGAAACTTGTTATTTTTTTAATTTGTTTATTAAACAAGCTGTTGTTTGATCATATGATGTTTTAATATAGTAAACTTATTATTTTTAAATTTTGTCTATTAACAAAATGTTTGGATTTTAATATTCTATGTATTAATTATTACTTTTACATGTTTTATCTATAATTTTTATTTGAATGCTATTCACTGAAAAAAATTTTTGGTCTTAGACAATGTAGTTCATCCTACAGCCTGTACCTCCTGCTATTATTGAGGAGCTCTATTGCTTTCTGGACAATGGGAGCATGCTTGAATCATTTATTTTGATATAAATATTCATATATTATACAATGGTAGTTTCCACTTCATATATACCATAATTAGGGTCTGTCCTATTTTGTTATCATGTAATTTTTCCTGGTGTGGAGCTAAGCTCCTTTGCTAAATTAGTTGACAGGTTTTGTTATTATAAAAATGTTGAGAGGTCTAAATTACAAAGGAGATTCTGTTGAAAATTTTACAAAATATGTAAGATTTTTTCAAACCTTATAATTATATATATTAGTTATCAATATTTTAGATTAATCTCAAATATTAAGGCTTATAGAATGTGAGCTTATCTTATATTCTGTGTCAGTCATATCCTTAATTCTAAGGCATGACATCTTAGCTTAGATGTTCAAGGCTTAAATTTAGGTAGACTTGAGTGATAAGTTGGAACTTGTGAGAATTACTCTGGAACTCATGATGATGAGTAGGAACAAAGACTCAAGTTGTAATAGGTGAACACATACTCCTAATGATGATATCTTGTCCTTGCGAGGATAAGAGGTCTATAACCTTGATTAACATTGTCACGTTGAAACTCACATGTATCACTATTGAACCTCTCATGTTCTAAGTAATTAGAACCAAGCTCCTTCATATACCACTCTAATACTCGCATGTCTCTCAAATTAAAACTTGCGTGTTTGAGTATCATAGAATCAAAGGCATTTTGTAACTCTAAAACTTATGAGTATACTTTCAATACTTGCGAGTATGAGATGCAATATCAAAGAACAATCTAAGAAACTCGCTTTGCACTACACGTGTTCTCATTAGAAACTCATGAGGATTAGATTAAACATGACATGCACAAGGATTTTTTTTTTTTAATTTTCAAAACAATGAGTGTGCGTAAGACTTGTCTTCAAAAATGCTTTACCATAATATGCAAATGCAAGTTCTCTTATTTAACTAGTTTTTAACAATTAGAATGAAGAGAACATAAAATTAAACCTATAAAACTAAGTCTTCTTTTATTCTCTGCTTTCTTGGATTGGTTTTGTCATATGTAATGTTATAATCTGCACAAATAGAACTTTTTTTTCAAGTTTTGTTTTCATCAAAATGAAGTATTTAACATGCAGTGCGCTTTTATTTATTGCTTTCATATTTTTCTTTTTTACTTTAATAAAATTAAATAGGGAGAATTTATTTAAGGACATTGATTGGATGTGAGATATTCTTAAATCAAACCTAACACAATATAAAATTTCACTATATCATAGAGCTTGAATCGAAATAAATTAAAATAAGATGACTAAAATATTCTTATTTCAATATGTTGTAGCAAAACAAGTAACATAAGAGAATTAACATGTAAAATAAAGCTTTTAATAAGTAAAATATCCTTATTTAATCTTTTTTCATTCTTTCACATTTTTTTATTTAATGAAAAAACTAATCATTGATCTATATAGTTTTATTAGATTTTATATTTAATCCTTGTATTTTTTTTCCCTAGTGTTTTCAATGACTTGAGGAACAAACGTCACCTAAGCTTGCTGAAACTATAAAGATTGAAAAAAATTGAAAATATTACAAAAGTTAAAAGAAAAATTCAATAAAACTATAAGAACTGATGATTGTATTTTTTTCTTTATTGATTTTAGTTTCAATAAATTTAGAATATATTTTTTATTATTGTTATTATTTTAATTTTTTATTTCAAATAGAAAGTATGATATTAAAATATATTAAATAAATAATAACTAGTTTGACCTTGGTTAGACCATTAGCCCTTAAATCAATCTTTTTAATTGATTTAATGATTGATTTGGTTTTTTATAGTTCGCTTCACTGTAATTAGTGTATTTTGTGGTCCTAAATCATATGCCTACTTGTATGTTTTATTTTGTTCTGTAGCATTTGCTGAATCATCCCCAAATCCACTCACATGAAAGATCCAAAGATATTGGACTCAAAGCCGAGTTCCACATCTCTGTACAAGAGAACGATGCTTGTCCTTCCCCCTCTATAATTCCTCTAGTTTTTTCTCTTTATCATCATCGACACATTAGTTTAGCTTCAAAAGGAAGCTCCTCCGACAATGAAGTTTTTACTCCTGCCTATCATTGCTTTTTTTCACAGTTGAGCTTCGACTTCCTTTCCTGTTTTCACTTTTTTTTTCCCTGTAACGAGACCAATTGTGTGAATGAGTATTTAATTTATATTTTATATATGAAGTTGCAGGTTGTGCTGGATGCTACACATGAAGCCTTATTACCTTCTGAAACTTTATTGGAAGTCCATGCTTCCCACTACTCTCATGCCTAAATCCATCATAGATCTCCTCCATCCAACTGGTTAGTATTTTTAAAGTTTGTAGGTACCTTATTAATGTAAATTTTGAAACTCACATGACAAACACAATATGCTTCTTTTAAGCCATGAATGAAAAATCAGACCAGACCAACCAATTGAGCTGGTGAATTGGCACTCAGGTAACTAAACCTCAAGGACTTTTTTCTTTTTCCCTTAAATGAAACTGTTGTTATCATGCTATGCGAAATGCTCATTGAACGAGTGAATTTGTGCTATTTATTGATTCCAAATCTATCTCGCTTTAAGCGCTAATAGTTAATGTTAGCAATGAAGCCAGGTTATGGCACCACCATCCATGGTGGGACCGAACATAGACTCGAAGATATAATATCTTGCGTAAGGTATTGTTATGGGAACTCTGAGACCAAATACACGATAACGACAATACATCCCTCTTCTCTTGGAGAAGGACTTGAAGGCTGGCCACGGAATGAACTTGTTCTTCATGCAAACCTCCAACCAAGCATCCTTCCTGCCTCAAGAAGTCTTGCAACTCATTCCCTTCACTTCAAGGAAGGTACATAGTGTTAGAATCATTCTAGCATGTCTGTGAACATCGATATTCAGAAACTAAGGGGGAAAAATAGATAATTTATGTATTTGTGATTCTTATGAATAGATGGCTGAGATATTGAACAAATTCGCTGTGAAGCCTGGGTAATTAAAAGCCGAGGTTATGAATAATACAATTAAACTTTGTGAGGAGTCAGGGATTAAAGGAGAGGTGAAGTATTGTGCCACTTCATTGGAATCCATGGTTGATTTTTATCGCTTCCAAGCTTGGGAGACACGTGGAAGGTTGGTCTACAGAAGTGGTGATTGAAACAAAGAGGCAAGATATCACGCCTTGAAAATAAGACATGATCGACATAGAATAGGAACAATACTCATATCTCAAAAGCCTTAACTTAAGAAAGCTTTAATTTCTAATACATAATTAACATAATTAGCCGCTCTTACAATACTTTTTATATAACAACAAATCATCAACTTTCTGTAGATAATTTGACAAAACTTCCTTTAAAAATAAAACCTTCCAAAATTTTTACATCATCATTTTATAACATCAATTCAAAAAAGGGAGACCCATTCCTCAACAGCAAATAAATAGCACAATATCAAGATAAGGACCTTAACTATAGTTTACGTGAAGCATCAAAAATTAGATTTACAAAACATAATGCATAAATTTAAGTTTACATTTTAAGAAGTTTAATCTACAGTTCTTCACTTCAATTGAATACTACCTCTCAATGATTAGGTAGAGTACAAGATTGGCTACACTATTTGAAATGAAAAATAATTTCCCATGAATAATGTCCCAATAATAGAATTTGATAAGAATGAATAGATTCAGGTAATTGTAAATAAATTAAAGAGAAAATCTCTCAATATAATGTAATCACCAAACTTGGGGTTTTAAGATTTTAGAGAACCTAAAAAAAATCATTAAATTCATAATAAAAAAGAAACTTTATCATTTGATCTTGAGCAATCAATAGATTAAGTAAACAAAATAAATAAGAATAGAAATATTTATTGAATAAAATCAATGAAGTATAAATTTCACAAATCAAATAAAAATTAGTATTTCGAGGACTTTACATAATGGATAATAAATATAGACACATAGTCCACGAGAGTAAATAATCAAACATGGCTTATGCGATAAAAACAAACATGGATACACAGCCACGAGGGCAACAATAACTCAACACAGTTTGAAGACATGAAATCAAACGCAGGTGTGAGACTTATGAATAAAAAAAACATAACAACAAAGCCCACAAAAGTGAATTAGCTAGTTACTAACCTTAGCGCATCAAGGACTAATGGAATATCATTAACAACCAGTGTTTTATATATAGTCTTCTCTTAAAATCAACTTTCAAACAAGCATGGAAGTTTTCATAACTAATATTTTATAATTTCATTAACAATTCCATGCATGATTGTACCAAATAAAATTCATTTGAACTTGTGTAAATACTTTGTTGATTCAATATAATATAATTTCACATAACAAATTGAACCATTAAATTAGAATTATCCAATAAGAAAACATCTGTTGATAAACGTGGTTTACTAACAATAAAATAATAAAAAATGGCATCAACAAATTTTATAAAAAAATTTATTAGTACATTAATTGGGATACTATCCACTTACCTAAGTTTAAGATAATAATTTATTCTTTCAAAGTACACTTCTCTCTATTGCTCCTTAGCTTCTCTATTACTTAGACAAGAAGAACAAACAACTCCTTTAACGATGACTCTATTCATACATCTTCAATAGACATTCGTTTCCTCCACAATCCTCTCTAGTACACAAAGTTATAATATATCCACTAACACATACTTTCAATAAATAACACCTTTGTTCACTTATGCACTCTCTTCCCAACATCTAACTTGAAGCCATAACATTCATTTTAAATATTTAAAGGTTTAAATAAATACAATAAGCCATAAGTGTAAAATAAATAAATAAATAAACAAACTAACTATCTTTAATTTATAGACCTTATGCCCAAGTTGCAACGGAAAAATTTAATAACTCCTATACTAAAATTTTGTGGATGATTTATTACCCACACTTAGTTATTCAATTAGTTCAAAACAATTTCTCCTCCTCCACAATTAACCAAAGATTTCCACACCCAACAAAGGCTAGGAACTTTTATTTGATATTTTAGCAAACTAAAAAGGATGTCCAGTATACAATGATCCTAGAGAATAACCAACACTGCCCTCACACAAACACTGCCACTTCTTCGATCTATTCTATTGTTTCATTTAAGTTTGATTTAAGTTCAATTTTCACATCCAATTATTCTCTTTCATTTTCTTTTTATCCTAAAAAAATAACAGGTTGCTTTTATGGTACTATTTTCACAAAGGAAATAGAACGCACAACTTTTATGCTCTGTTTTGATATATAGATTTGGATTTGGATTTGGATCAAATCCATTATTTGGATACTTAAAATTTTATAGATTTAAATTTGGGCCAAATCCAAATCCAAATGCCATTCCAATTCTTTCATGATTTAAAATACCCTCTGGAACTTGTTATTTCAAATCTTTAAAGTCTCTCGTCACGATCGTTGCCTCACTCTCAAGGGTGTTTCATCGCTTTATCGTTCTTATCTTTAGTGTTGTCATTCCTGATTTCTATCTCCATTCGCGTCTCTCGCTAAGGTGAATTCTGCTTCCCTCATCTTTTAAATCTTCTCTGTAGCCTCACTTGCTTGCTTCATCTATCCTCACATCATCACCACCCTCTTTGGTCTTCGATTCCCCAAATATGCTTTTAGGCTGAATATATCTATATCAATTGGGTGAATCGGCTCTAAGATTTTCGCCTCATTTGAGATTTCTCCTCCTAGTTATTTTTCACTATTTGATCTGGGGTTAACTGAATTTGTGTTTTCTATTCTAATATTCAACGAATAATGTTTTACATGTATGGTTGTTAATATTCTCAATATTAATTTGGCAAAGCGGTGATGCTTTTCATTAGTGGCCTTTGTATGTGGCTTTCTATAGTTTGTTTTTTTTCGTTTATTAATTATTATTCTATGTGACACTGTAGGAAATGGATCAAAAGGAAGTTAATTAAAAATAGAAGAGGCATGGGTCTTCATTTGGAACTTGAAAAGTAAAAGCTGCTTGAAAGGCAACAAGCACAACATATATATAAGTAGAGGTGGAAAAGAGGGAAAATGGAAGAAGGTGAGTAGGGAAGCAATGCAAATAAGGGCTAGTCAGTCTACCATAGGAATAGAGAAGATAGTTGTGACAGAAATAAAATAATGGATGATGTTAGATACAAATTCCTAGGTTTTAATGTTATATCTAAATTGATATTAGTTACCTAATCATCTCTAGATTTTCTTTTAGTTTTGACATTTTTCTCTCACATTCCTCTAAGAAGCAAGAAACAGATCTCACAGTCATGGTAAGTTCAGGATACTGTGAATATGTAATGTTGGATGTGTGATGCTAAAAATCTTATAGAGAATAATGAGAAAAACATAGAGTTTCTTTCCTTCTCTCTATTATTTTTTGTGAAGAAAAGTTGCTATGGAAGTGCACAAGTGTGATAACTTCCAATGATGTATCTACTTTTTTTTCTGTTTCTCTTGTACTCTTCTACTGCTTGTGTACCTACCTTTTGGATAGTAACATCAAACACTTAACCTTCAGCAAAACTTTTTCTTCCATTGTCCTAAGTTCCAAGACCCGAGGCCATTTCAAGCTTGATACTTTATCTCTTCTACTCATGTTTGATAACTTGGATTTTCTATTTTGGGGGGCATGTTTGAAGTTTTCTCTAGAAATTAGCATCAAAAATCTGGTGTGTTGCTATCAGTGAATTTCAACTTTGATGCTTATCTTTAATTCTTAGTCATGCTGTGAAAACAATTTGTCTTTAACCTGTGTCTTCTAGTTTAGTTCTTGTAAATAAATCAGGTTAAGTGAAGACCCATGACATATGTTTCATTGTTGTGTGGTGCCTTCCGTTGCTTTTGTTTTTACTTTTAACTTTGATCCTTCCATATCTTACAAGCTTCCTTTTGCTCATTTTTATTAGAGGCTTAGAGCATTCTCTTTTGGGAACAATAAGATCAATAGCTGGTTTTTTAGGTCATTGCATTATGCCACAGTTAATTTAAATTTGATTGAAATGATTTTACCCCAGCATGTTTTTAAACCATTTAATGTAGTATAGGCAACATGAATGATTTTTTTTAAATGATTCTCTTTCTGCAGCTTCACATATTTCTTATTTTAGATTGCTAGTAGCCTAGTAGTGGATGAGATGGTGTGCCTTATGATATATCCCTACTACTTTCTAAATTCCTCATGCTTCGGCCCTTAACATTACATTGAGGCCTTCTTCACTTGGTTTTTGCTGCCTAATAACTCTGTTTTATATTGCTAGTCATTGGATCAGAATTTTTCTAAGGAGTAACTCTGTCAAATCGAACATTTAGTTCATGCTTTCCATCGCATATTAGTGGTTTCTTCCAATTAACATTGAATGTTTAACTTTAATTCATTAATATCTAAAAACTGTAGTTGAGGGCAGGGGATAATGCAAGATTAGGTAATTCTGCTCAAGGTATTGCTTTTGATGTATCTTCCAGATAGATGTTATATTAGATATGGGGTGGAAAACAATAAAATTTAATTTTTGCTTATTGACTTTAGAGACAGTTAGTCACTATAGGTGATTGTTGTTCGATGTTATGCTTTTTCCTTATTTAGTTATAGTAGTATTTTTTTTCTCGCTACTCTGATGGTGTTTTTGATATTAAAGTACTACTTTAATGTAACAGGTAGTTTGTTTAATATGGATAGTAACCAACAAAATTTGCAGACTAGAAGAAAGCGTGCAAGAGATGAAGAGAGCATGATTGAGGGGAAGAAGAATTAGAAATTTTTTTATTTGTAGTCAGTTTAATTGCAATGGTTATTGGAACATTACATAACTATAAGTATAGATTACGAGAAATTTCATGGGATGAAAGTGAACATGCTCATCGTAGATTTCTTTGGATGCAAATTCTAGAATGTGAAACCACAAGCATAGATTTATTACGCCTTAACTTGGCAACATTTAAGAAACTATGTGGCATTTTGCAATCTAAAGGAGGGTTGATGGCTTCAAGAAATGTTATAATTAATGAAATTGTTGCATTGTTGGTGTATATTCTGCTCATGGAATTAAGTATAGATGGATTAAGGTAGCTTTTGCACGTTCTGGAGAAACAATTAGCAGACAATTTCATGTGGTTCTCAAGGCCATTATAAAGATAGGCAAATACTATATCAAAGAGATTAACTCAGATGCAAATTATCAAGATAATGACAAGTGGAAATTCTTTGAGGTAACAAAAGTTGGTAATTTAGTTCATATAATTTTAATTGTGTGCTAATGATTTTTTTAGGGTGCGCTTGGTGCACTTGATGGTACTCATGTTCAAATGACTGTTCCAATTGAAGATCGAGCAAGATATCAAAATATGGAAGGCGAGTTGAGCACTAATGTTCTTGCAGTTTGTGATCCTAAGATGATATTCTCTTATGTGTTACCTGGTTAGGAGGGATCCGCATCTGATTCTTGAATTTTAGGTGATGCTCTTCATAGGCGTCATGGTTTAAAGATTCCAGCTAGTAAGATTTCACTAATCTTAAATAATCACTTTAAGATTGAGAAATTTGTGTCCAAAATACAAACTATTTTCAAATAATTTTGTAGATAGGTATTATCTGGTAGATGCTGGGTATGCAAATGGTCCAGGCTTTTTAGTACCATTCAAGGAACAAGGTATCATCTTAATTTATGGAGAGGAAACACACCAACAAATTATAAAGAGTTATTTAATCTTCAACACTCGTCAGCAAGAAATACCATTGAAAGGGCTTTTGGGTTATTGAAGAAGAGATGGGCTATTTTATGAACTGTTAGCTTTTTTTATAAGCAAACTCAAATCAAAATTATAAATGCATGTTTTATTCTCACAACTTTGTAAGAGAAGAGATGTCTGAAGATGACTTGCTCAAAGAGGTGGATGAAGACTTTGAAAATTTTTTGGAGGTTGGGAATGAAATTGGAGATGAGGAGAATATTAAAAGTATTTGAGCAACACATGAATGGACAACATATAGAAATACTTTAGCTATGCAAATATGGAATGAATATCGAGTTGATAGGACAATATAAGTTTTTTTTATATTGGAATTGAATTGTAGTTGAATTTTTTTTTTTTTTGCCAATTTTTTTTCCTTCTTTTGTATAATTACTTATTTTTGTCTAAAATATGGGATACTTTTAACTATCTTCATAGGTAATATAGAAAAGTAGTTAAAAATGATTTGTATTTTTATCATTAAATAAGTAAAAAAAAATTTCACTATTTTTCCAAGATTAACCCTTCAATTAAAATTATCTATCTTAATTATCATTATTTTTTATATAATATCTCTCTGCAATATAATTAATAATGACATTTGTGGAAAAAATCAATGCATTTGACTTTTACAAAGAATCTTAAATTGTAGACCAGTATTAGTTGATAAATAACGGCATATTCTCTCTCATTTTTTAATATAAAAGAAATTACTATGTGCATCTTTTTTATTTATAAGCAAAACTATAAATTTCAAGAAGTATTTATTATAGTTTTTTAAATTGTCCCTCATAAAATTAATATTATTTTTACTAAATAAAATTGTTTCCTTAATTATAGGATACTTTAGTCTAATTTTTTAATTTCAAACAAAATTAGTATACTTAATTAATTAACTTTTCAAAATTGTGTGAATTGATATTTTTTTTCCTATATTTAAAATCACAGGGAGTATATTTTAGATTAGATGGAGTAGTTAAAAGTTTAGATTCACATTATGATGATATGAATATCGTATATAAATTTTTCTTATATTGAAACTAATTTTTAGTCAAAGAGGGTTTTTTATTTTTCCTATGCAAGCTTTTCTACATTCTGCTTTACTTCGCATTGAGAATATTTTATTTTGGGCACTTGAATGTTTTAATAAAGTTCCTAATGTTGAATCATTAAGTTTTTGAATTAAAGTTTAGTTTTTATCTATTGATCAAATTTTATAGAAAAAAATGATTAGGATAATATGGATGGATGGTCAATTTTGGTTGATAATTTAAATACAAAATAGTAAAAATATAATTTTTTATAAGTAAAAAAATAAAAATAGAATTTAATTATGATTATTTGAAATTTTATACAATTCAAATAAAAAATTTTAATATTAAAATTTAAAATTATTTAAGCACCCAAATAAAAAATTTAAAATATATAAATTTGAAACATGAGATTTGAAATCTAAATTTAAAATCCAAATCTTCAAATCCAAACACTACTTAAAGTAGATAAACACGGGGGAAAAAAAAATCACAAAGGCCGAATCTTGTGAGTGCATCGATCGCCACTATTGCAATACCTCTGTTATCACTCCCACCCATTTTAGGCTGATTATCTCCTTTGCTCGTTAGATCATCATAGAAGGCCTTGCTGCTAGTTTAACTAGCTTATTGAAATGTTCGATCATTTTGTAGATACGAGACCCAGGAAACTATTGCACCAACGAGCGAGCCAACGAGGTCACATAAGGAGAGGGAGGTAGAAGGTACAGTTCACTAGCAGCAATGGAAGACGAGAGGATGGCAGCGACGCAAAACATGTAGACGTCTGGTCGACGTTGCAGCTCAAAGAAAGAAGAGAGGACCTAGCAGCGAAGCAGGGGAAGGAGGAGACGGCTCAGCACATTTGACACGAAAAGAGGGAAGATAAAGGACTGACGGCAAAACAGAGCGGCGGGGGTCACGGTGTGCCACGCCCACTCCGGCGATGAGCTAAAAACCGAGGACAGTGAAGGATAGAGGTTCGAAGCTTCTGGACCCCCACCCCCCCAACTCTTGCTCTTTCAATGAACACCTAAAATCCGAACGAAATGGAGGAAAAAAAGGGCAAAAATATCCTAATGGTCATGGGGGCAAAAAGGTAATTTTGTAAAGACTGTAGAGAAATGAAAATGGAACGCATCTAACAGGATTCGAACATTAGACCTCTAAATACACATACACACTAATAATACTTTCCACTAAACTATCAATTCATCTTGTTAAATTTACTCTGAAATTTAACAGAAGTACTTTTAAATTATCTAGTTATAAATTTTAATTGAACTTAAATTGTTGGGTCAGTATATTCTTCTTCCTTTAAAAAATTCAGTACTTTGAATTTAAATATATACTCACCCTTGTCCTTGAATATGCATGAATATTTAACAAAATTTAAATATTTATCGCTCGAAAATGATTGCATTGTAATACTTTCACATAAACAAAATTTCTTCTACTGCAACCTCTTTATTTTTTATCTAAACTGGCTGGAAAAAACTTCTTCATTGTTTATTGTACAACTCCTAAAAATTTTAAATGGTAGCTTAATAATTACCATAAACGAACTTCACACTAAGCCAAGTAATTGTTCCAACTTCCACCAAGAACCAAAATATAATATCTTAACATAATGTCTTAAATTTGAATTGTTTTTTCATAATAATCATTAATTATGATAATATATAGAGCTTTTTTAAGAGGCCTACTAAAAGAACAAAGTAAATTAAAGTCTTTGACCCACTACCAAGATGGGGAAACTCTATGAAATTCTACAATATTTTCCAATCATTGATCAATCATGTCAACTACTAATGCTTCTCTTAATTTGTACACAACCAATTACCACGAGATAAATCTTGCTATTATGCCCTTCCTCATACCAACCCCACAATATAAATATTTGATGTACAATGATTTCAATCTACTCCTCAATTATGATACCTTCACTGAAGGCACATATTCTACTATTACATCTCTTAATACTCCCTCCTACTCGATAGCAAATTTGATATTACTCCCATTTTCTTATCTTACTAGCAACTTTGGCGAGCCGAGATGTGATAGGACTAGTGCCTTGTCTCACATCTGCTTGATCAATGTCATGAAGTTGATATTGATTTTCTTCTTGTTGTAAAATTTTCATTTCATGTGGTAAATAAATTGGATAGATCACGCTATTAATTTGAGTTCAGTTTTTTTTTTAAGTAAAAACAAGAAATTTAGCTGTTGACCTTTTCAGTTAAAACTAATGTTTTCATAACCGGACCGGACATTGAACCGGAAAAGCCAGCGGTTCACGGTTTGCATAGTTCAACCAATTGGACCAATCGGTGATGTAATAATTAAATTAAAAAAATTATATATGTATATAATAATTTAAATATAAGAAATACATATAAAATTGCTACTTAACTTAAAAAAATCAAATATTTTAAGTTTATTATGACTTAACAAGCCACATGATACAACATAATATCAAATGATTAAAAAAATAGTCATTTTTTAAAAAAATTGATAAAAAATAAAAAAAAAAGTTTTTTTTAACAATCCGGTTTTTAAAAACCGAATCCGGTTTCTGGCTTGATTATGATTTCCGGTCTAACCGCCTGTTCGAAACAGCTCAATCCGATTCAACTCCTAAAACGGTTTTTTCCCTATGAACCAGACCGATCGACGGTCCAACCAATCCGACCGTTTGGTTTGATCTGATTTTTAAAATAGTGGTTAAAACTAAGTAGCTATTAGAAGTTAAGGGTTGAAAATTTGTCTATATGGCAACTCTTCAGTACTTGTTCCATGGTTATTTCAAGGGAATCTCTATTTCTGACATGTGAAGAGTTGAATAGTAGGGAAACCAATTCCTAATGCATGGAGTGAAAATGGTGGGAGTAGAGACGAAAGTTGTAATAACCCAGTAAAAAAAAAACAAAGAAAGGATAAAAAACAGAAAATAAAGGAAGGGAATTTAATTAGTGAGTTATTTTGATGATAATTATAATGATCTACAATTTAATTAAAATTTAAGTAGATGGAAAGGTATTTTAATAAATATATATATTTATTTATTTATTTTTATATTTAGTAGAGTCATGTCGAGAAGGAGAGCTAGTGTGGTGGAATTTGAGTTAATTTATTGTTTGTCAGATCTTGTGTCCGAATCCTAGTGGCTTAAAAGAAGAGTTTTTATTTTTATTTCAGCCTCACAAAATGACAATTATGCCCTTCCCCTAATCAGATTTTTTTTTTTGTCCCTCATCTCTCCTCTTTGCCGAGGTATTTTTGTGTTCTGGACCAAAGGCAGAGAGCTTTTAAAAATATAGCTCCAGAAGCTTCAAACCTTCAAGTCGGCCAGCTCTGTCCTTCGTCTTCTTCTCCATCGCCAGTGATGTGAGTCGGTGGAACTCCTTGCCTTCCCTCTATCCTTCGCATTTCCTCCTCTGTTCAGGCTGCCGTGTTGTTGCTCTGTCATCTACCATTTTGCGTCGACTCTGTTTTGGTGGCTGTGGGACACTGTTGAGGGGGTCCAGTCGAACTCACGGCTTCCTCTGCCGTCGTATTCGTTGCTAGAACATCTTAGCTGGAATCTGCCACCGTTGCTGCGTTTCAGTTGGTGAGTGTAACTTCCCTGTTCCTTCCATTGTTCCGTCGACTCCTTCCTTCCCTCTTCAATTCCCTGAGTTCTACGAATGTATGTGTATTTTACGGCTGGAAATTTTTAGATGCTGTATGACTGAGCTTTTGATTGAAGTTATGGACTCCCTTTTCTTGTTCATATTTTCGTGAGTAATGTTGACATAAAAATTGGATTTTATTCATGTTTGGGATTGATTTTTTTCCTACTGATATAGTATATTTGGGATGCTGATTGATTCAATAATTACAGGGAGAATGACAATTAAAGACCTTTTAAAAATATTAATCTTAATTACGGATCATAAAATTTTAAAATTTCAGGTAAGGACTATGGTCCTTAATTATGATTAAAAAAATATAGTTTGTGAGGTGGAGTTCATTATTGCCACTTAAGAATTTACTAACCTAACTCGAGAAAATTTATAATGTATATTATGAAAACATGAAACCCCACTTAAAAATCAATTGTTTAACAAAAAGCGCCACTTAAGAATTCACTAACTCAACTTGAAAAAATTTCTAACGTATATTGTGAAAACATGAAACTCTACTTAAGAATCGATTGTTTAATAAAAAATACCAATTTGAACAAGTCACTTTTTATTAATGATTCTCGAGTGGGGTTTTATTTTTTCACAATATATGTTAAAAATTTTTTCAAGTCTAATTAGTGAATTTTCAAGTGGCACTTTTTGTTAAACATTTCATTTTTAAGTAGGGTTTCATATTTTTACAATATACGTTAGTAATTTTTTCAAGTTGGATTAGTGAATTCTCAAGCCGCATTAGTGAATCCCACCTTACAAATTACATTTTTTTATCACAATTAAAGACTATAGTCCTTAACTGAAATTTTAAAATTTTACGATCCATAATTGGGATTAATATTTTTAGAAGGTTCTTAATTGTCGTTCTCCCATAATTATATTGTAAAATTTTTAGGAAAAGGAATCGAGGTGGAAGAGGTTTGGCTTGAGCTTAATACTTAATGCATGAAACATATTTGACAAAATGCCTATTAAAAAAAGTTTTGCTTGATTTGGTAATTTTTAAAAATTTTATTAATTCTATTGAGAAATATATGTGCACTGGGTATTATTATTTGTGAGTATAACTTGAGCATTGCAAACAAATTTGATAAATATGGAGCTAGTGCAGTGTCTCAAAATTTTAAATTAAATAAATTCTCTTCCAACCAATATTTAATTTATTCATTTTAATTTTATAATAATTAAAGAGTAGGGACTTAACGAAATTTATGCTGATTATTTATATAGAAGCCTAAAGTTTAAATCTTATTCAAGCCAAGAGTTAGTTTTATTTTCTTTATATGGTAAATTACTCAAGTGTCCTTACTTCTTCTTCTTAAAAAAAATTAAATTAAATTTAAAAATTAAGATATTAAAAAAAATCAGGTGAGGTTTTCTTTTGTAATTTTTTCCAGCAAGTTTTGGTCCTATTTTGCAATTTTCCGTTGAGCTTTATATTTCATTTTTCCCTTCGTCTTTGTCGGTTGGAATTGCATATCAGAGTGAGAGGGATGCTCGCATGTTCTCTGTTTTTCCTTCTTTTCCCTTCCCGTCGCACTAGCTTCAATCTTCTCGTGAGTTTGTTCATTTCTTCTCACCACTGGAGGTTCGTCCGTTCTACTCCTTCAATTGCTTGCCCAACTCTGTACAGCCGAAAGGTTGAATCTTCTTCCCCATTTCTGCTCTGTTTTCTGGTTGTTAGAGGTGTATGTACGCTGTTCAATCTGTCTCTTTTCTTCCTCCTCGACTGTTGAAGTTATGTGCGTGTGTATGGCAGCTTGATTTTTCATTGCTGGCTGAAAATTCTGGTTTTCTTGCTTCTCTTTCTGTAGAACGTCGAAGCCCTTCTGCCTTCTTTCTTCGATGCAGGACATGCTGATTCCTTGTTGCAACAAGTTTTTGGGGTGAGTTGCTGGTTTTCTTTTCCTCCTTTTGCAGTTTATACAGCAACGCTGAATGCTCCTTTTCCCTCCTTTGGCCGACTAGTGATGTTCCTATTTCATGTTATTATTGTTATGAAACTAGCACTGACTACCCGTGCGATGAACGGGAAGCATTAAATATAATTATCATTAAACATGCTTAAGTTATTGCTTCTAATCAATAAAATCACTCCAAAAAATATACAATGCATAATGACCAACAATTACATTAATTGAAAAAAACATAAACGCTTCACAATTGATTCTTAAGATGCATGACTCATGAAGAAATTCAAATACATTAATTAATACTTCCTTGCAAAAGATGTCAGGTCATTAAAAGTAATTGAATAAATTCCCATAACGGAATAAACCAAGGATAGATCATATTTAATTGAAGTGGATTAGTTGCACAATCCCCAACATTGAGCTTGTTTATATCTATCCTTGGTTTTGTTTTGAACTGCACTTCACTGTTAACTACAAACAGTTTATACTTCCCCGTGCTTGCATGCGAAGCCTATACTTATTGTTATTACAATGAAGCTATAATTTTATAATCAATAACTTCGATTAATTAAAAAAGGAAATTATTGCATCAAGTTTACCTATATTGTACAAACGAAAATACATGAGAAAATATAGTATTATGATAAAATAGATAAGTAATTAAGATGCATAAATAAGGCCATGCATGAGAGGCTGACAATTAGTCTTGTGGAATTAGGCGGTAAAAGTTTAAATTAGAAAGAAGGTCATCCATACATTATACAACTCTCAACCAAATTTTAATAAGCTTTGTGCAATAATTCATATAAGAAAATGACAAATCTATGAAAATTCCAATCCATCAACATGTCAAACAAATTTCTGCCCGTGAAAAATTAGGGCGAAAAAGTATAAATTTCAAGGTATTGTTTAGATTGGGTGACGTCAGTCTCCTCTTGGGTTTACTAAGATTGGTAATTTCCTTTTCTTTTCTTTAATCTTAAGAGGTGGCATTAGGAAAAGTTAAAAGTTGTCACAACCTACAAACCTATTTCTGTTACGGTCATAATTATTGAAGTTATTCTCCCATCCTTTTCTTAAGCCTGTTTCTGTGAGAAAGTAGAAAGGTAAAGCGCTCATTAACTGCAAAGAGAGATGAATGACAGGAAAAGAATAAAGCGCTACAAATGCGGAGGCATTGAAGAAATGTACAGGAAAACAATTTGGTTTTTGACTCTTACTACAAAGTAAAAAGTTTGAAATGACGACGACAAAGCTTGAAAATTGGAGAAATTATTTGTACAAAAAATAAATAGAAGAAATTATTCTAACAAATGCTCAAATTCCCCCCTTTCATGGTGAAGCTTCTAAAGAATCATTGATTCAAGAACAATGCTTGCAAACACGTACTTTTAGGCAACATCTTGTTCGAATAGCGAGGAATTAATTTTCCTGATCAAGAAAAATCAGAAATTGCAAGCCAGAAAGGGTGAAATTTATGATGTGAAGATGACAGAAACAGGTCCTTACCATCACTAGGCATTACAATTGTGTTGGCATACAAAAAGAAATCTGTCAGTCTATAAACAATATAACACAAGTAACTCTTGCAAGTGATGTTTCTTAATTAGAAATTCTGGCTAAAATCCTAATGTATAACCTTTTGGCAATTACTCCAATCTTAACATCCACGGATAACTCCCTTTGAAAGACAAGGTACCAAGGAAAAATTCTGAGTTAACAATCAAGCATAAGATGCCACCCAGATGTAGAGTCTCACTTACGAATATTACAAGACTAACTTGATCTAGCCGCTTAAAATCTAAGTCTTACTCTGAATTGTTATCATATACCATCTATGGTTGATCCATCATCTTCAACAAAAGTACCTAGTAACCTTTGCAATATCACTAACTTGAACATCAATTGTAATTTACAATTAGAAACACTTGCGGTGACTAAATAACTAATAATGTTTTTATCATTATGTTTTCTCAATGCCTTTCCCCTATTATTCAGTAAGGATGATGGATATGACTCACAGCCAGCTAGAACTTATGGAAACTCATCATTATCTTCTTGAACACCTGCTGTCATGAGTTCTGTCCCCATTAGTAACCTCTTACAAAGGCAATACCAAATACATTTGCACTTTGTGGTGTTATCTGTATGAATAAAAAAGAACCAGCAAAGCAAAATCTTCAAATAGAATATAATCCATTCAAGGTTCTATTAAACTTTGAGATGTCTCTGACAATAAAAATACTTGCTATGAAGAGCGGTTACGAAGCAAGAAATGCAAAATATTTAGATACCTTGGACTTCTGCTGCATATTACAGCTTCAGATAAATAAAACATTATTGCAGGTAATGCAAAGATCCATTATCTTCAAAAATGGCGAGAAAGCATCAAATTTGCAGTGCAACTCATCAAAAAGAGAGAAAAAGAACTTAAAAGTGAAATATCAGTACCAAAAATGGTTTCTCATTAAACATAATTATGAAAGTTAACTTCTTCCAAACATATCAAGAGATGGCAATCTAAACACATGCATCCATTCCCTTTGTCAATACATAATTGGGGTAATTTAAACAATGCAAGTAGCATGTTTTTCACCAAACCCTTTGACAACTGAACATGAATGACAGTACCTCTTGGAACAATTCGCTAGCTTATTCAAACTTAGTGCTAAAACAGCTAGATATTTGATAAGAACAGCTTAATTGTGATAGAAAATATGACAAACATTACTTTAGGAGGAAATAATTTAGTAGTTCTTTATTGCTTTCCATTAATTTATTAGTTTTTGTTGCTTTTCACTTAACTTTATCAAGTTTCCTTCTTGTGAAGGAAACTAGGCAATATGCACAAGTGAACGTTTCCTTGTTAGGAAGGAAACCTCATACGACTTGTGTATTCAGAAAGGGATTAAAAAAATGAATGAAGTTATTTGACATATTCTGAAAACTCTCTCCCTCCAGTCTGCGTCCTCCCCCTCTTAGTTCTTCCTCCCTCTTTGTTCTATCTTTCCCCGTTTCTTTCCCCACTTCCTTGTTCTCATCCCTCTCCCTACCACTCTCTGTTTCTGTTTCATCTCACTTTTCCTTTTCTATTTAAATCAATGTGAGCATGAGTGTTTGCGTCTTATATCAACTTGGTATTAGAGCAAGGCTTTGAATGTCCCTAGGCTGTTTTCATGGCTGGAGATCGGAGAAAACTCACTGGGAAGCTCAGCATACTCTGTTTCACGCTGCTAGAGTCTAGAGCCACATTTCCCAACGTTGGATCCGAAAACAGACACCACCATCATGCTCGGGAGGAGAAATCTAGTCAAAATCAAAAAACCCACCTCCTCCCTCGGCCACACACATCGTCACGTGCTGGAGGAGTTCCCTGCACGTGGTCTTCACACGCCGTCGCATGTGCCATCCGTACAGTTTTGCCAGAACTTGATTTTCAGCATTTTCTTGTGTTTTCATGAAATTTCTTCAACTTTAAAGAAGCTGAGGGCACAAGTCATCATCTAAAACTTTGTTGGGGGTAAAACTTTTGTTTTAGGCTCCTAAAGCAACACTGGTAAGGCCAACCCCCCTCTTATTTAACTGGCTTATTTGGTTATTAAAAGGAGGTGTTCTATTCATACTAGGTTTGAAATCTTTGTTGTCTAGTACTTGGCTTTCTTTTAGCATTGCACTTTTGATCATGTTTAATTTAATATTCTGAATTTAAAGAAAAAAAGAATTTACATTGATCATTATCTCATTGATTTGTGACTTTTGATAGCAATATTCGTATAACCTAGGACACCAACCTCACACACAATTCGACCCTATACCCGGGTCTAAAAATTACCTTAAGTTAGTTGAAGTTTCAAATGGTTTTCTTGAAAGGTTTTTGAACCTTTGAAAATTTCTGTAAAGGCTTCACTCGAGTTGTTACCTATTTAACATACGATCCCTGTGGAATTTTTGAATTCTCAGAGGATTAGTATTGTTAAAAAGGCACTTCACCTATTCAGGTGAGGGCAACTTGGAGGCCTTTCTTCCTTTGGTTATTAAATCCACCCCAAACTTGCACTTTGTTATACCACCCTTGTCATTGTGTGGCCATTCGTGATTTATACAATAAGCAAGATTTATTAGACCAAGTAATTATTGCCCTAAAATCTGCCATGGCCAATAACTCCCAAATTACCTAAAATCATCTTGAGAAATCTGAAAGGACTCAAAGGGCATATGTGGACTAGCGGCTTGATGAAATTAAAGAATTCATGAACAATAAATTTGAAGAGATAATGGGTGCAATTCAATTAACATATAGACAAGATACAGGGAAAACGACTGAAGGGTTGCTCGAAAGACCTATCATTAGAGAAGAGTCAAGTCTTAGAAATGAGCAATTCCCAATCCACAATCAACCTAGAGGTAATTTCCTTAGGATTGGTCATTCTTTTAGAGCTACGGGTGAAAGACACAGTAGATCATCTCCTCATGAGTTTACCAATCATCATTCTGATGACATAGATGATACTTGGGATGGGCAAGGGCCTTAAGAACAACATTATAGACCATACCAACCAGTCCATAAGAATGGTAGAGAAAGCCTTAGAAGGACACATACGGATGACATCACCAAAAAAGTTAAAGTTGAAGCTCTTGAGTTTGATGGACGATTGAATCCTAGTACGTTCTTAGATTGGTTAGCCAACATGGAAGATTATTTTGAATGGTATAACATGAGTGATATTCAATGAGTTCGGTTTACGAAGATGAAGCTCGTGGGATCTGCTAGAAAGTACTGGCAAAATGTCCAAAGGAACATTGAGCGACAAGGTTATCCACCGATTGTGTCAAAATGCCCATAGTGTGCTCTAGTTATTGACTCACAATGTGAGAATGAGGAGGACAATGCAAATGCTGACGTTGTCGTAAATCCGGTTGAGTGTCCTTCAAAGGTGGATAAGGACATCATCATTGATGAACATAGATATGAGACACGTTGAGTTAGAGTTATGCAATGCATTCTATCTGTCCCTCTACCTAGTGATTCATGGAAGTGAACAAGTATTTTCCACACTTTAATGAAATGTGGAGATAAAGGTTGCAAATTAGTGATTGATGGAGGGAGTTCTAGAAATGTTATTTCTAATCAAGGAGTAGCCCAACTCGGCCTCAAGACAGAACCTCACCCAGAATCTTTTCGTGTTGCATGGGTTGACAAAACTTCTTTACCAGTCACCCAACAACATCACGTTCCACTTCTACTAGGTGACTATAAAGGAGAGATTATTCGTGATGTTCTTCCAATGGATGTTGCTCACATTCCACTTGGTCAACCATGGCTTTATGACCACAATGTAATCAATCATGGTCATGAGAATACCTATACATTCAAGTATGGAGGCAAGACTATCACGTCCTAAAATATAAGGTGTAATCAACATGGGATATGCATGCAAAACTCATATCCCATAAACCTTAACTAAAGAAATTTCAAATTTGTAAACCATAAACACATAATATATAACTAGAATTTAGATATTTTATTTTTATTATTATTAATTAATTAATTTTTTATATTTTTCATGCAACCAAAATTCAAAATTTCCTATATAGAAAAAAAAAATTAGCAAAATGTACCCTAAAATTGAGACTTCCCAAAATTTGTCACTAACAAAGAACCACAATAATACAAACAAAGAAATTGCACTCCTTGCCAATAATTATTCAATCTTATAATAAAAATAAGAATCTTGCCTATAATCAACGTGAAGTATCTAGGGCCATACCATTGATTTCATATAAGGCTCAAATTACATCAAATGGATCTTCCCAAAGTAATTCTTTCACTCTATTTGAATGATAAAACGTCACAATGAACATGTTGAAATACAAGTTGAGCCTTTCTATCTGAGACCAAAATATTTTTTTCAGTGAATAACGTCCTAACAATAAACAAGTGAACATAATTAAAAGGAAAGTTTGAAACAATTATGTAAGTTGGAGATAATAATTTTCATAAAAATTTAATAAACTTCAAAATAAAATGGCTCTATAACTTTAAATAGAATTTTAAACCGTTAAAGTATCAGATCAAATATTGTTGCCATGTGATTTCAAGAAAACAAATAAAGAAAATAAATAATTATACATAAATTACTAAATAAAAAAAACCAATGAGATGTAAAATCACTAAACAATCTAATTTATGATTATAGGGACTTATCAGAACCATTAACAAACATGCACACATAGTCCACGAGGGTAAATAACCAAACGCCGCTCTTGCCACAAAAACAAACATGAACACATAATCCACGAGGGTAAATAACCAAACGCAGCCGAAACCACGAAACAAACGTGTACACACAATCCACAAAAGTAGGTAACAAAATGCAGCCGAACCCACGAAACAAACGTGAGTACGATGCTCACAGATAACCATCCCTCCGTTCCACGTGCGTTGGCCGTCGCACGGAGCTAACACCTCCTATAGTCACCCTGCTAGCTAAGTGTATCATGGCATACCAAAGGCTAACGAAACTGCCGTTAGCAACCAGTATTCTGTATAAAATCCCTTTTAAATTCATTTTCAAACATGCAAGAATATCATCACTTGCAAAATATAATTTCTCTTTTCAGTATCAAACTCGCATGAACCATGTGAAACATCAATCTTTCTAAATATGAAAATCCATAATTAATATTTCATAAATTGTTCACTAATTTTCATAGTTGGCTGTATCAAATAACAGACTACTAAATTTATAAAAGTATTTTCGTCAATCCAGAAAGTATAGTAATGATTCTAAGAAGTAAAACAATTTAATTAACAAAAAGAGCTAATGTAAGAGAAATATATAATATCTATAAATTGTTAAAACAATATTTTAATAAAGAAATTTCTTTTTAATATAAATTGATTGAAACATTATCCACTTACCTGATAATTTTTCAAATAAATAACTTACTTCTAACTAGTTCTCTTCCAGTAATGCTTGTTCTTTAAATCCTAATACCCAAGAAATACCATTGTTATTTTCTTTTGTAGATCTTATTATTATCATCATCATTAATCTAAAATAATTCGAAAAGGAACACAAACAGCTCTTAACTTCCAACATTTTTCAAACATTTCATAGACATTCTAATGACTAATATCTTA